GTGTGTGTGTGTGTGTGTGTGTGTGTGTGTGTGTGTGTGTGTGTGTGTGTGTGTGTGTGTGTGTGTGTGTGTGTGTGTGTGTGTGTTCCCTGTCTTTCATGCATGCGTCAGCGCTTGACTATGAGCAATCGTGCCTTACCGCTGCACCTTCTCCCCAAATGCTCACGGCTGCAACTTGTGCTGTCGTCCTCGCCGCCCATCGCCCAGTTCCTCCTGGCCGGACCCACTTCGTTTACGACCGCCACCACCACCTCCTCCTCCTCCTCCAACAGCAGCAGCAGCAGCGGCAGCAGTGGCCATCGGCACAGCACCATCATCTTTGGCAGCGCGCGTGACAACCACGAGTTGTTTGACGAGTACCTGCAAGCTTCCGCGTGCACACGCTCGCCACTTCCTGGCCAGCGGCAGCGCCGGCGCAAGGACCGCGTTGTGTCTCGCATCAAACGAGCAGCCAAGAGCGTCCGCATCAAGTCTCGCTCCCCAGGTGTGATGATGTCGTGCGTTGGAATGAGCATTGTCTGTGGCGGTGTGTGTGTGTGTGTCTGTCTGTCGGTCTGTGTGTGCGTGTGTGTGTGTGTGTGTGTGTGTGTGTGTGTGAGTACGTCAATGCTTCTTGTTCCGCAAAACTCTGATGACACGGTTCATCACATCACATCACATCACATCACGTTGCCCTTTGCCCCCCCCCCAACTTCCCGTTGGCTGCATACCACCGTTCGCGTCTCAGGCGCTGACCGCCAGCGCAACCACTCGGCATCCCCTGGTGAGCACAACCTACTTGTGGTGTGGCGTGGTCTACGTGCGGATGTATTCAAACACACGAGCACGTTCACATGCACACACTCACACACACAGACACACACGCACACACTCCTGTACACACTCAAACTGACCCTCACTCACACGCACATATTCACTCATCCACACTCACGCACTCATACACACAACAGCCGGGCCATCGTCGCTGCAGTCGACCATCTCGTTCACACAGCTGGCCAGCACGCTTCCAGACAGCGTGGCCCCAACACCAACACACACGCACACACGCCACTCGCACAACAACCACCAACACCAGCAGCAGCAGCAGCAACAGCCACAACAGCAACAGCAGCATCATGGCGCTTCATCATCATCATCATCGTCACCGCCGGGGCGACCAAGCACGCGGCCCCACTCACTGCCACCGCAGGAGGGCGAGTGGACGCCGACACCGCCACCACGTCGCAGATCACGCAAGACAGCGGCACGCTCCATGCTGGCACAGCACGCGCCGCACACGCCATCGCAGCCGCCCCCGAGGCCACCAGCACCACAATCACCAGCCACGCGTGCAACAACAGCATCCGCAGAGTCATCAGCACCACCCTCGTCGCCTGCAACTACAACTGCAAGAACATCCACTGGATGTTAGCGTGTGCTTGTTTCTGCTTGATGCTGGTGCTATTGCAATTTACACTGGAGGGTGATGGACCCGAAACACGCGCACATCTGGCGGCGTGCCACTGCGTGGTTACCAGGCTTCGCACAGCTGGTTGTAATACGGTTATTACACGGGTGTCGTGGTCTTGTCACTTGATCATATCGCTTGTATATATGCGCAAGACACGCAGCAATAAACGGCAAATGATTCCAGGTGTGCGCAAAGCAGGAAACGCATGTACATTTGTGTTGAAAAAAAGGGGGGGGGGGGTTAACGTAGCGAGGAGAGGCAAGAGGACGAGGGCGTATGTGATGTAGATATTGGGTAGGATTCGATTCGATTACACAGGGAAAAGCTTAGGCCCGGAACACCGTTGGTGCTGCACACGCAAATCAGCATGATGAGCAAGAGCAACCCAAAGCGTGAGATCAGATACGGGTGTGTATGCGTTGCGTGTGTGTGTGTGTGTGTATGTGTGTGTGTGTGTGTGTGTGTATATGTGTGTATGTGTTTTGTGTGTGTGTGTGCGTGTGTGTGCGTGTGCGTGTGTGTGCGCGCGCGCTCTTTTGTGCGTGCGTGTGACAAGCGCTAGCTACACACCTCCGAGCGTGATGCCAACGCCTTCGCCGACGGCACCTCCCGAGATGTCCATGTCATTTTCCAGAGATGGCGCTGCTGGCGCCTCCAGGGCGAGTTGTTGCTGTTGTTGCTTTTGTGCCTGCTTCAACTGCTTCTTTGTCGGAAGAACCTCGTCTGGTGGAAGAGGAGGAAGATGCAGAAAATGGATGGGTTGTGAGAGGTGTATAATATCCCTGTTGAAGGGGAAAACACCAGACAAAACGCACAGCTCTCATCCACACACAGCTGCACGCAGACACACACACACTCTCTCGATGCATAACACAAGACTGGCAACAGCATGCACAGCCTCATGTGAAGGCATACGTACCGATTGTTGCCTTTGGAATACCTTCCGCCTTGAGCTGGTGGCGCAATTGCCTGATGACTGCACGTTCCTTCTTCTTGGACAGGACGTGGTTCCTGCGCTCGCCCTTGCTGTCAATGTGATGTGCAGCGAACCCAAGGCGTAAGCAAAAAAAGAAAGCTCAAGGAGAAGGAACAAAGGAAAGGTCAGCACAGAGACAAGGAAATGGAAAGCTCAGCACAGAGACAAGGAAATGGAAAGCTCACACGCTCGCGCACAGAGACCGCACACACACACACACACACACACACACACACACACACACACACACACACACACACACACACACACACACACACACACACACACACACACACGCACGGATCTTTGAAGATCTTCTTCTTGCGCCGGTCTCCCTTGCGCAGGTTGTACTTGGCCTTGTTTCCCGCCATCGTGGAGCAAGCAAGCGATGCGATGCGATGCGGATGTGATACACAGGGAGAGGTAGAAGAGATTGGCGAAAACCACGTGCGTGCGGGGGAGGGGAAAAAAAAAAAGATGAAGAAGAAAGTGTGTGTGCTTTTGTTCAGGTGCAGGGGGAAAGACTAAAAGTTACAGGTTGTGTCCCAGCAGGGGATCGAACCCTGGACATCAGCATTTCCCAAGCACAAAATTAACTGGTATTTTCCTTATAAGTACTGCGCTCTAACCAACTGAGCTACAGGGACCAAACCGTTGCCCGAGAGGTGAGAAATTGACCTCTTCAATACACAAGACACACTATCCACCGCGAGGCTGTGGTGCGCAGTTTATGCTTCCTGCACCGCAGAAGCAATCACCCCGCACCTTGCGTTCGTGGCCACGTTGTGTTCTTACTTCGTCGGCAGCCCTCTCGCAACGAACGACGAAACACTGCCACTCGCTCGCTCGCTCGCTGACGGCCACCATTTTCTCATCCACCATTGCTTCGGCCTCTTCCCTTCCGCCTACACCTGCACCTGCTTTTGATTTGCTTCTGTCTCTTGTTCTCACCCTGCGATCTGCGACCGATCCAATCCGATCCGATGGCTGTGGACAAGCAGCTTCGCACGCCGCTGGCGATCGCTGCTGTTGTGGCGGCGGCTGTGCTTGCGTTTGTGAGCCCATCCCATGCCGTGGCTGTCGCCTGCCCGGGTGATGGCTTTGGCAGCAACATGACCCCGCAGACCGCCAAGGCCCTCGGCGTGCCCGCTGACGGCACCCCGTACACGTTCTCTGGCGTTGCGTGCCTCGATAGCCCAGACTGGCTCTCCATTGAGCTCTGCGCCGGCTGTGAAGCACACGTGGATGTGCTCTTCTCGCACGCCGACGGCGACCTGGACGCCATTCTGTACACCTCGAGCGCCACGCCCGCCGACACCAGCACCTCCGAAAGCGACAACGAGGAACTCGCCTACACCAACACCTCCCCTTCTGCAGGCATGCACTTGCTGAACATCCACTACTACAAGCCGTTGGACGGTTCTCCTGCAGAAGGCACGGGCATCGTGGAGTATGAGCTCATCATCACCATCGTGCCCCCGGAATCGACCCCAGCCGCTTCGTCAACCACAAGCAGCAGCAGTAGCAGCAGCAGCAGTAGCAGCAGCTCGACATCCACGTCCACCTCCACGCCGCCGTCCTCATCTTCGTCGACAACAAGTGCCACCACCACCACGGACGTTAGCTCGTGGTTCCCTTGCTTTGGCGACGACTACGAGCCCAACGACTCCTTTCAGGAAGCATATGTCCTGCCAAATGCCACGTTCCAGGTGTTTGAAGCCGAGGCGTGCCCCTTTACCGAAGACTGGTACAAGTACACGCTCTGCGCCGGATGTACTCTCGACATCGCCATCGTCTTTGACGGGTCCGCGGGAGCACCCTCCATTGGCATCTACTCGGGCTCGGGGTATGCGCCCGCAAACGCAATCAGCAACAGAGAGTTCAACATCACGTACACGGCGCCACCGGCGAGTGTGACCGGCGAGAGTGAGCACGTGTACATCCTCATCAATCACGATCGCAACATCCCCGTCGACTACACGGTAACCCTCTCCGTGACAGAGGGATCACACAGCCTGGACCTCAACGGGTTTACGCTGGTGTTCCAGGGCGACGTGCCCACAAACGAGGGCGAGGCGCGCCGCTTCTCCACGGCCTTTGACGAAGACGCCATCATTGCCTCGTACTCGGGCTCCGGTGGCACTGCCCAGGACTGTGCGGATATCTGCCTAGAAAACCCCGAGTGCGTCGGTGTTTTCCTGTGGGTGCTGGAAAGCGGTGTGGGCCGCTGCGTCCTTCTCAATGACCTTGGCACGGAAGAGGGTGCTCCTACTTCCTCCTACTCGTACAGCTTTCGCCGCGATCAGCAAGACGACCCCACGTCGCTTGAAGGGTTTGAGCTGGTGTTCCAGGGCGACGTGCCCACGAATGAGGGCGAGGCGCGCCGCTTCTCCACGGCCTTCGACCAGAGCGCCATCATCGACACGCTGGTTGCGGGGCCTGAGGACACCTCGCAGGACTGTGCGGACGCATGCTTGGCTGTGGCGGAGTGCGTTGGAGTGTTCCTGTGGGAGCTGGAGAGCGGTGAGCGGCGGTGCTCCTTGCTGAACGACGTTGGCACCCCTGCCGGCACGCCCACCTCCACCCATTCTTACAGCCACCGCGTGCAGGCGGCACAAGACGACCCCACGTCGCTCGAAGGCTTTGAGCTGGTGTTCCAGGGCGACGTGCCCACGAATGAGGGCCAGGCGCGCCGCTTCTCCACGGCCTTCGACCAGAGCGCCATTATTGCATCCTACTCGGGCTTCGGTGGCACTCCGCAGGACTGTGCGGATATCTGCCTGGAAGACCCCGAGTGCGTTGGAGTGTTCCTGTGGGAGCTTGAGAGCGGTGAGCGGCGGTGCTACCTGCTGAACGACCTCGGCACGCCCGAGGGCACGCCCACCAGCTCGTATTCGTACAGCCACCGCGTGATTGGCGCGGGGGGCGACCCGCGGTCGCTGGAGGGCTTCACGCTGGTGTTCCAGGGCAACAACCCTGGCAACCAGGGCGTGGCGCGCCGCTTCTCCACGGCCTTTGACGAGGGCGCCATCATCGACCGGTTCTCTGGCGGCGCGACTGCGCAGCCGCAGGACTGTGGAGACGCCTGCCTGGCTGTGGCGGAGTGTGTTGGAGTGTTCCTGTGGGAGCTGGCGAGCGGTGAGCGGCGGTGCTACTTGCTGAACGACCTCGGCACGCCGCAGGGCGTGGTCACCTCTGGCGACTCGTACTCGCACGCGCGCGACCAGACGGTGACGACGCCGGAGGGGTATGCGCTGGACTACGCGGGCGCGGTGCCGGGAAACACTGGCTCGACGCTTCGCTTTTCCACGGCGTTTGATGTTGGCGCGCGGCTGCAGGTGGTGCTGAACGAGTCGCCGGAGACGTGTGCTGCCGCGTGCGACGCGAACCAGGCATGCGCGGGCATCTTCTACTGGATTGTGCACGTGGGTGACGTGCGGTGCTACCTGCTGTCGTCGCTGGGGACGGCTGCGGCGACGAGCAGCGCGTCGTACAGCTTCCGCCGGGTGTCGACGCCGGCAGCGTACGTGCCACCGGCCGGGTACGTTGTGCAGCACAAGGGCGACACGTTTGACAACGCGGCTGGGCCCAAGCGCCGCTTCACCACGGCGTTTGACACGAGCGCGCGCATTGACACGGTGAACATGGCTGTGCGCGACGACGGGCAGGCGTGTGCGGCGCAGTGCAACATGACGAGCGCGTGCCTTGGCTTCTACTACTGGGCGCGTGCGTCGAACCTGTACACGTGCTACCTGCTGTCGGACCTTGGCCTGCCGGAGGGGGTGGTCACCTCTGGCAACTCGTACTCTGTTGCCAAGCTGGGCGTGTCAGCGTCTGTGCCGGGGTACGAGCTGACGTTTGAAGGCGACACGGGCACGAACAGCGGTGAGCTGCGTCGCTTCTCCACGGCGTTTGATGCCGGTGTGCGCGTGGCCAGCGTTCCGAATGCGGACCTTGTGGCGTGTGCGTCGGCCTGCGACGAGTCGACGCTGTGCCTTGGCTTCTTCCACTGGACCAAGTCTGCCAGTGCTACGGAGTGCTGGCTGCTGTCTGACCTGGGCACGCCTCAGGGCATTGTCACAGGCACAAACTCCTACAGCTTCACCAAGCTGCTGCCTTGAGCTGTTTCGAGCAGCCGAGCATCCGAGCATCCGAGGGAGCTGAGCGAGCATCTCTCTCGCGCGCGCGTGTGTGTTTGCTTGTCTACGGTTGTGTGTGTGTGTGTGCTTGTCTACGGTTGTTTGTGTGTCTGTGTGCGTGCTGAGCAGTCACATCACGTGATGTGACGCACAACGTGCAACGGAGCAACGGAGCACGGATGCGTTGTGTTCTTGAGCAACGGAGCACGGATGCGTTGTGTTCTTGTGTTTGTTTTGATGTGTAGTGCTGTTTGTCCTTTCCTAATGCTTGTTGTAGCGACAGTTGCGCATGACGATGTAAACGTGTGTCTGTGCCATGAGGATGGTCAAATTGGATTGATATGAGATTGAGATTGGGTGCCTTGGACGGTGCCTAGGGTGGTCGGCTGAGGGAGAAGTCATTCTCCACAACAAGCGCAGATTGTCGTTGTTGTGGTACGTTTCTTTTTCTTCGTGTTTCAGATAAAGGAATAGACCTTTGTTTCCCCACTGAAGGGGCTCCAAAAATAGAGAGTATTGTCTACTTGCACCACTGGCACGGAATGCGAGGCAACTGATGAGAGTTGACGCTAAACTGTGCAGTCTCTAGTAAAAGGCGAGGGACTTACTCGCTATGCAAGTGGCGCAGACTTGTCTCTACGAGAAGGTGCTGGGAACATATGATAAAACGGATTCAGTTTGCACACTTGTGGGTTCCTCGAAGAACAAACAAGCGGGCAAAAAAAAAATAGTTTTCTATTTGAACTGTGCAGGCATTTACAAGCAAGCAAGCGCAGCCAACCACTTTACTTTCCCGTACAAACACCGTCGTCCACCCAGCCGACATGGAGAAGGCGACGCGATGGCAGAGCCAGTACGTGCTGTCTGGGTGTGCTGCGAAGGTTGCAGAGCAGCTCGATCAGCAAGCACAAGCTCAGTTGGGCCTGAAGCCCAACATAGCAAGTCAACAACAGCAAGCCAAGGACAACCAAGCCTTTGATGCCAGCCACAACGCGTCGGATGCAGATACAAACCCAACTCAAACCTTCTTCACTTGGCTCGAGAAGGTGCACACACACACCTGGAAGCAGATGTACCTGCGTGGGCGTGTCTGTGTCTATGTCTGTGCCTATGTCCGTGTGTATCTGTGTGTGTGTGTGTGTGCGTGTGTGTGTGTGCGTGCGCATGTGTGTGTGTGTGCATTGCCCCGTCCCTCTCTGTTTCCGTCCCTGTCCCTATGAGCGCGTGTACTTTCCCCTGTCCGTCTGCCTTTCTGCCTCATGCTCTCCCACCGCTCTCTCCCACACACACACATATTCACTCACTCACTCACTCACTCACTCACTCACTCACTCACTCACTCACTCACACACACACACACACGCGCGCGCGCACGCTCCATCTTTCCGCTTTGCGTGCGGCTGGCGCACGCTACACCTTCCACTGAAATCGCAGATTGAAGAACAGAGAGGCAACGAGCAAGAGCGCGTGGTTGTGGAATATCTTGACTTGCTCAAGTCTTACAAGGACCGAAGTCAAGGCATGAAGGCGGAAATCTCGGCAGCCCTCACGGACTTGGAGGTATGACCGACCCCTGTGAAGGTTCTCGTGGGGTCACCATCTGTATTCGTCTGGCTGTGTTCGCGTGTCGTTGTGCATGCGTGTTCGTATGCTTCTCCTTGTATCTCGGTGTGCGCGCTGTACATCCCGTGGTAACCTCAACGAATGGAATGATTTGCCCCTTGTTTGTTGCCCACAGCGCCTAACTTGACCACTACTTACTTGCAGGAACTGAGACAGCTGCATTCGTCAGTGTCGTCACAAACCTCCGCCATCCACCTTGCATGCGAGCAGCTGCTGCATGTATGTTCCTGTAATTGTCGTGGGAGAATCAGTCATGCGCTTCCTCGTGTTCCTCTATCACCACATGTTCGTCTCCCACCGCTCACCCTACCCTGACAAACCTTCGCACGCGTGTAACGTTCAGGACGAGCGCGCACTTGTGCAGTCGTGCGATGCCGTGAGCGCGCGGTTGCAGTACTTCAAGGACTATGACCGCTTCCGCAAGCTCATCAACTCGCCCACGCTCTCCGTCATGAGGTCTGAGCCAAACGCTGGTTGTCACATCCGGCTGCCTTTTTTGCTCCCCAACGCATGTCTTCACATGCTGATCACCGACCCACCTCTCCTCCTCATCCACGTCCACTTCCCTTGGTGTTCAGTGACCAGTTTATCGCCATTCTGTCCCGCTTGGACGAATGCATCATCTTTCTCTCTGACCATCAAGACGTATGTGCTCATGCCTGACAGTGTGTGAGTTAGTGTGTGTGAGTGTGAGTGAGTGTGAGTGTGAGTGTGTGTGTGCACATGCGTGTGCACGGTCGTATGTGGGTGTGTGCGCTTGCTTGCATGCATACGTGCTCGTGAGTTATTGCGCCAACGCTTATGCCCTGCTCACTTGCGTGTGCACCACAGTACCAAGATGCACAGATGTACGTGACGCGATTTCGGCATCTGAGGAACAAAGGGTTGGCTCTTGCGCACACGCGCATCACAAACACCATCCGCTCCCTCATGCAGGTTTGTGTGTGTGTGTGTGTGTGTGTGTGTGTGTGTGTGTGTGTGTGTGTGTGTGTGTGTGTGTGTGTGTGTGCTTGTGCAGTGTATGTGCATACAAAGTGAACGTACGTGAAAAATGTGTGCGCTTGTGTGCGTGTGTGTGCGTGTGCCCCGTGCTACCAACACCAGCCTCTTGGGAACGCAAACACAGCCTCATGTTCACACCCCCCCCCCCTTTTTCAATGAATCACCCTACCTTGCCATGTTGCGGCTTGACCAGCCCCAGTCTGGCGAGGCGGCCACGCCCGTTCGCGCCATCCGCGCTGACGACCGCGCTGTATCTCAAGTGCGCACGCTCATGGAACAGCTGGAGCGGCGCCGCGCAAACGGCGAGGAGTACGGCAACCTCCTCCAAGGTGTCACGCACGCTCTGTGTGTGTGCGCGTGTGTGGATGTGTGCGCGTGTGTAGATGTGTGCGCGTGTGTAGATGTGTGTTGGGAATGTGTGTTCCTGGCCATTGACTTGTCTCACTTACGTGGGACGTCGCGCGTTCCCTATCAACACTGCCAGCGTGCTACAACTTCTACTTTGAGCAGCGCCACAACATTCGGGCCGACAGTATCGCGCATATGATTGGTGCGTGCACGCTTTTGCTTGTTGCTTTGTGCTGTGACACGGTTGCTTGTGCTCTTGCACGTGTGCATGTGCATGTGCGTGTTCTTGAGCATTGTGGACGTGCTTAAATGACTCGTGCGTGGCCCCATCATCAAGGCTCATTTGACATCTTGCTTGCTCCCTGCACGTTGTGGTTTGGGCTGGTGATGTGATGGCGTTTCATCCCAACAACAAGAATCCAACTTGCGTGAACACCACGCCAACCTACCTCGCCTCGTCCGCAACGGATGTCAATTCATGGTCAGCATACAATGGCTTTTATTGTAACAAGTCTTGTTTCCTTGTGCATGTGCATGTGCATTTGTGTGTGTTGTGTGTTGTGTGTGTCATCTGGCGCGTTGTGTGTGTGTGTTGTGTGTGTGTGTGTGTGTGTGTGTGTGTTTGAGAACTTTGTTTTGGGGGACATCTCATGATTCGATGGCGTGATATGATTTCACTCCCTTTCGCTTCGTGCGCCCTTGCTGTTCTCGCTCGATGCAGAAAACGCTTTGTGAGGAAGAACGCATCATGTACAACCGCTTCTTCACCACCATCAACGAAGGTGTGCCGCACCGCACACGTCGCTAGGGGGCAAGAAGGGCAGAGAGTGTTTGCGCGTGTGTACGTGCGTGTATGTGTGGGTATGCTTGCGTGAGTGTTCATGAGAGTTTGGTTACTCAGCTTTCCCTGTCTGTGGCACCGCTTCATCCCGACGCAATGCGCTGCTCGCTTCAGGATTCCACAACATGATTGATGGAATGACGCGACGATTCTACGATGCCGTTCGCCCTCTCATTCTCCAGCGCGCTGTCAGTCATCAACACAAACCTCTCTATCTTCGTGTGTGCGTGTGTGTGTGCGTGTGTGCTTGTGTGTTTGTGTGTGCGTGCGTATGTGTTTGCGTGTGTGCGTGTGTGCGCGCGTGTGTGCGTGTGTGTGTGTGTGACCAAATCCCCTCTGTCACGCATGCCCGCACGCGCGTACGCAGACGCTTTCTTGTCATTCCGTACTTGCAAGCAAGCCATCGTTTTCGCTTGGGCGCCTCGTGTGCTGCATGCTCACACAAATCACTGTCTGCATGTGTGTGTGTGTGTGTGTGTGTGTGTGTGTGCGTGTGTGTGTGTGTGTGCTTACAGGTGTCGTTGGACGGGCTCATCCAGCTTTGTACTGTCATCAACGTGGAAGTGCTCGAGGATGAGGGTAAGTCCCGTGCAACCGAGGGTTGTGCCTTGTGCGTGTGTGTGTGTGTGTGTGCGTGTGTGTGCGTGTGTGTGTGTGTTTGTGGACGTATGCATGCACCCGCTGTGCGCGCCCATACACGCCCATACATGCCCATACACGCCCATGCACTCGCACAAGTGTCTACTTTTGCGCTTGCGCTCACCCATGCGCACACCTCCCCACTTCCCTTCCCTACTCCCCGTCCAATGTGTGCCGGCTGCGTCGCCACCATCAGAGGTGATGTCGCCGTTTGCGTCTGTGGCGGAAGAGCTGTTGGCAGATGTACAGGAGCGCCTCACCTATCGCGCCCAGACGTTCATCGACACGTGCGTGAGCAAACCTGATGTGCCCGTGTGTGCACGTGTGTATGTGTCGGTGTGCACGTGTGTATGTGTCGGTGTGCATACGCATGCACTTGTGCTTCTGTGAATGCGCACACGATTGTACCCCCTTTTTGTGTGCATATCGCTGGCGTGTGCGTGTCGTGCTGTGTATTCACGTGCCAATCACACCAATCACACCATACACCACCGCCCCCCGCTGCTACCACCACCTTTATCAGGTCTGTGCGGCGGTACTCGCCCACAAAGCCCGACGTGGACTATCCGGCGCGGCTGCAGCTCGGCACGGCCGCCGATGCCACCGCGTCCTGGTATCCGCCCATCACCCGCGCACTCACCCTCCTCTCGCAGCTCTACCGAAGCCTCGAGGTGCGCAGGTGGCCGTTGCGCAAGGGGCACCTTGCTCTGCGTGTGTGTGCGTGTGTGTGCGTGTGTTGTGTGTGTGTGTGTGCGTGTGCGTGTGTGCGTGTGTGCGTTGTGTGTTTGTGTGCGTGTGTGCGTGTGTGTTTGTGTTGTGTGTGTGTGTGCGTGTGCGTGTGTGCGTGCGTGTGCGTGTGTTGTGTGTGCGTGGACTTTTACACATTTGTATGTGGTGTGTGCGGCTCGTTCCATGCAAGTTGATTGAGCCTCCCTCACGCCTACCTTTCGCCCCTTGGGGTATTCCACAACACCATCCCCCCCCCCACACACACACACCGCAGCGGTCTGTGTGTGAAGGAATTGCGCAGGAAATTCTTGATGCAGCGCTCTCGTCTCTCCACACGGGCGCGCGTCTGGTCAAGGCAGCAAAGGTTCGTGGTGATACGGTGGGGTTTCAGCCTGCGCGTCCTCATGAGTGAGTTGCATCTGTTGTGTACGTTTCGTGTACTTACACACAACACACAACACACACAACACACACGCACACGCAACACAAACACACAACACACAACACCAACACACAACACACAACACAAACACAAAACAATACTATGCAGGGCGCATTCCATGCTGATCTGTTTATGATCAAGCACCTGCTTGTGCTCCGGGAGCAAATTGCGCCGTTTGACTTTGCATTTGCTGTGACGGAGGTTGGACTGGACTTTTCTTCCATCCGTGATGCCGCCGTGAGCCTGCTCTCGCAGACAAACACGCTCTTCCGCTTTGATAAGACCAACGCCCTCTACTCCTTCCTTGTGAAGGTAGACCGTCTGTGCGTGTGTGCGTGTGTACTTGAGATTGTCGGCGCGTTCTTCCTTTGCATGGATTTATTTCGTCACCCTCACAACACACAAAACAAACACACACACACACATCAGGGTGCGCCTGCGGTGACAAAAGACCGGCTGGACGCACGGCAGCAGATTGACACGCAGCTGCGGGACGTGTGCCGCGCGTTTATCGAGCACGAGGTGCAGGTGATGGTCGCCCCAATCAAATCCTTTCTGCAGCAGGTCTGTGCCAACGCGTGTGCTCGTGCGTATTTGTTTGTGCGGTGTGTGTGCGTGTTTGTTTGTGCGGTGTGTGTGTGTGTCTGTGTGTGCGTGTGTCGCTCGTTTGGTTGCGTGCGTGCTCTGGCTTTTGCAAAGTGCTGAACGTGCGATGTTTGCCAACATTGCATGGTGTGCCTTGTCCTTGGTTGACGCGTACAGGTTGAGAAGATGAGCGAGAAGCAGCGGCAGCAGCTGCCAGCGAAAACACCGCCTGGTCAGCAATTAAAATGCTTGCCACAACCTGCATCGCCTCACCATTGTTTTTCCTTTGCACTTGCACAAATAGACAAACACACATGTGCCCACACACTTGCGCACAAACACACATGAGCACAAACACACACACACACACATACCCCTCACCCTCGCCTACCGTTGCTGCTCACTCGATGGCACCGCTGGTTGTTTGCAGAGAAGCTGCGATCCATGCACGCGTCGAGTCAAACAGCAATCGCCACAGAGGTGGGCTGCATATGCCTGCCCTGTCTGTGCGCATGTGTGTTTGCCACCCCTCTAACTTGTCTCCCGCCTTGTTTTCTCTGCATACGTTTCTGTGTGCGTGTTCGTGTCCATGCCACTGCTCCTGGAGAGAAGAGTTGATGACACTTGCTCACGGCACACACACACACACACACACAACTCACTCACGTGGCAGGTTGAGAAGCTACGAAAGTTCCTGAACCTTTACCTGCAAAGCAGCGACACAGAAACCATATTGTTCAAACCAATGAAGGTGTGTGCCAGATGGCTAGTCTTGCTCTGCTGCCTGTTTTTTGAACATGGCTAAGCTCTTGTCCTTATCGCTGCAACCACGCCCTCACGGCTGCCTTTCCGGTCCCACACAACACACACGCACAAAACATCAGAATGGAGTGCTGGAGGCGTATCGGATGGTGCAGGAGCTGCTGAGTAAATACTACAGCGACAACGAGCGCGCAAGTGCACAATGGCCTTCATTGGATACAGTCAGCGCACAGCTGTCTCTCACGCCAGCAGCGACACCAGCAGCGACATCAACAGAGGTAGTTGCATCACAAGCAGCAAAGGCAGACTCATCACAAGCAGCAACAGCGCCAATCACAGACGGGGTGCGCACGTTGAACGAGGGCGAAGCAACAGTGCAAACGCCGCCCGCAACAGTCACCGTCGGCGTATCTGCTGTTAGCAATGGCGGTGACGGGCACGTGCAGAGCGCCCAGGCAGCGACGACGTCCGTGGCAGCGTCATCGCCATCCGTGTCATCGTCGTCATCGCCGACAGAAGCAACGCACATGCAACACCACCACCACCACCACCACCACCAGCAGCAGCAGCAGCACACCGAGCACGATGCACAGAACGGCAGCACTGTTGCTGAGAGCTGATGTGAATGTGCGCATGTTGCATCTGTGCATGTCAGTTTTGTACACACTTTGTTGTTGTCGAGCGTGCCCGCGTATGTGGTGTGTTCGCTTGAGTTTCACTCCATTGAGACCATTGTACAGAAGCAACCGCGTGAGTTCAGTTTAATACCACGTTATCAACACCACATGTCGTGCGAATAAACACACACACACACACACACACATACACACACACACGCACGCACGCACGCACAAGAGCGTGTTTTGCTCGCTTGCCGGTCATTCAGAATCGCACGTTAATTAAGGCTGTCAGAAAATGGACCAGGCCAACCATTCCACACCACCACAGCGGTCGCCATCAGCACTGCCATCACACGCTGCCGTCACATCTCAAGCTGCCTGAAGGTGTGGTTGGCGTCTGTGTCGTACCGGCCGCTCACGAGCATGCGGAGGAAATCGCTCACCTCTCCGGCAGAACCGAGAGCCGTCAGTAGCATCTGCTCAATGTTGCGCATCATCGCAACCTGAAGGCACGATGCAGCACATGTGCGCGCACGCGTGTGTGCATGTGTGTGCGTGTGTGTGTGCATGTGTGTGCGCGCGCGCGTGTGTGTGTGGAGTGAAGAGGCAAGTGAGTGAGGAAACATGCACGGTGAAAACCAAAGGACAGCGAGAGAAGACGCTCGTGTGTGTGTGTGTGTGTGTGTGTGTGTGTGTGTGTGTGTGTGTGTGTGTGTGTGTGTGTGTGTGTGTGTGTGTGTGTGTGTGTGTGTGTGTGCTTCACCTTCTGCGATGCTGTGAGGGGGAACCTGATGTCCTCTGCAATGGCGGGCGGGGACATGTACCAGAAGTTGACTGAGACAGACAACTGCGGGTAAGAGTTGAGAGGAACATTCGATGGGGAGAGCAAAAGGGAAGCGGTGAGAGAATGGTGAGAACGTGAAAAGGGGCACGCCACCATGGCATGCTACCATGTCATGACGCGTGCCAGCAATGAATGCTGACGAGCCAAAACGCTGCGTCCACCACCAGAACAGCCATAACCACCACCAAGTACGTTACACCCAACATCACCATCAAGACACGACCATCAACCAGCAGTGCCGACCTCGTCAAGGGAGCGGACGAGGTGCCACCAGCACCGCGGAATGTACAGCACGTCGCCTGGCCGCAGAATCGCCTCCAGCCCCCGCGCGTCCTTGAACTTGGGGAACCGCTCATAGTCGGGGTTGTCAAAGTCAACCTGCCATCCAGTGGCGACAGCATCAGTGACAGCAAGGCTCGTAGGGGGGTGTGCGTGTGCGTATGCGTGCATGTGTGTGTGTGTGTGTGCATGTGCATGCGTCTCTGTGTGGTGGATGATTGTCGAATACTCGCGAGCACATGTTTGAAGCTGCTTGCTGGGCGCTGACGGCAACAAACCTGGCTCTGTCGATCGCATGGGTGCCCATATCTAGTGTACACATGATCAAGAGCAAGTGAGAACAAAGTGTGTGTGTGCTCGTGTGTGCGTGTGTGTGCAGAGAAGCAACTGTTGACGTGTCACACACACACACACACACACACACACACACACACACACACACACGCACACACACACGCACACACACACACACACAAACACACATACGCACACATGCACGCACACGCACACAGCAGGACACAACAAAAGCAAGCACGCGTGTACACTGAAAACGGCATCTCGACTCGCGTACCGGTAGGGGTAAAGGCATCGAAAGTTGTCTGGATGGAAGAGGATGACGCGCTTCGTGCCGCGCACCTGGACAAGGGAACAACAGCGGCAACAAATGAGACTTGTTCAGAGGCTTGGGGGAGGAGGAGATGGAGATGGGGCACCACCGTCGACAGAGCGTCGACAGAGCGTCGACAGAGCGTCGACAGAGCGTCGACAGAGCGTCGACAGAGCGTGTCTCGATAGACTGGCATGCGCTGATACATGCAGACAGACGCATCGACACACACACACACACACATATAGGATTGCATGCATAGAAATGTAGACAGGCCGACAGGCGACACACTTTCATCGGTACATGCACGCACACGCACTTCAACACACCACACACACATAACACACACGCACACACATGCTCTCTCTCTCTCTCTTCAGTACACATACATCGACACACACGGACCTGTGCGAAGAAGTTTTCTTGCTCGTCGTAGTGGCAAGGTGTGACAAGATGGGGCATGCTGACAAAGAGCATGTTGGTTGTGAGGTGGCCCCAGTTAAGTGCCTTCACCACGTCAGTCAGCCATGTCCAGTTGAAGCCAACGAAATCCTTGACAATCGTTGGCCCAACGGTATCGTTCAAGCCCTAGCAAACATGTGTGTGCGTGTGTATGTGTGTATGTGTGCATGCGCATGTGGGTTTGTCGATAGGCAGTGGAGGTGAGCGACACGACAACATGGGCGACTGCATGCTGTTCTATGGCTTTGTCGACCCTCACAGGTACACTGTACAGCTACAAATCAAGGACAACGCCAAGCACACACACACACGCGCGCGCGCAGTTGCACACACACACATGCAGTTGCACACACATGCAGTTGCACACACACATACACATGCATGCACACACATACACAAGCATACGCTTGCAGACACACACACACACACAAGCACACGCAGAGTCGACTCGATTGTTCACCTGCTGGAGGTAGAGGAACTTGTCCTTGGATTTCATGGCTTCCCGGAACTCCGAGGCAAACTCCTGGAACGTCATGGACCGCTTGGTTGCAGTTGGTGTGAACTTGTAGTTGCCCAGGTTCTTCTCCTCGTCGCTGAACATGAAGACCCGCTCTTTACTCTCGTACACGGTGAACTTGCAGTCGCCCATGTGCTTCTCCATGTACTCGAGGTCCCAGTGCCTGGCAGACTCGACCAGCTTCGAGTCCGTGATCACAATGGGCCTCTGCTCCCGAATAAAGTCGAGCAGCTTGGGGTCGCACACCCGAACCCTTGGCACCGACTCCAACGGGCATGGGCATTGCCACCACTCTCCGCCACCAGACATGGTCTTCTCGCTCCGTGTGTGCGTTTGTAAGTGTGTGTATGTATGTAAATGAGTGTTGACTGTGTCGATGCGCTGCTGACGTATGTGATGAACGCAGTGCGCGTCTGGTCGCGGCCGTGGTGTGATGGAAGCACTGTTGTTCACCACCGCTGCTGTTGTGTCCGCCACTCGGTACGGGCGCTCGGTTGTTGCTCGTCCGACACCAAAATAGGTAGCTGGCTCGATTCCGAGGAGTAGGGAATGCGGCGGTGAATTATCGCATCCACGTGAAGCGCCACAAAACCCACCACGCTGCTGCACGCTGCATCTGTTGTCGTGCAGAGACCCTCAGTCACCTACATCACCACTCAAGAAACCATGTCAAGCACCCTCTCCTGGCCCAACTACCAGGTGTGTGTGTGTGTGTGCGTGTGCGTGCGTGTGCGTGTGTGCGTGAGATTGTGTTGCATACCGTGTACTCTTGTGTCCTTTTTCCACTTTGCATGAGTTTGTATGTGTGTGTTCGTGCGTTTGTGTGTGCGACTTGTGATCTTGTGCAAACATAGGCAGTACACATGCACACTCACGTGCCACACACTCTCTCCCTCACATGCCCACACACTCTCCCTCACATGCACACACTCACATGCACACACCCACACTCACACTCACACTCTCACATGCACACACATGCACCCGCACACACACACACACTCACTCACTCACTCTCTCTCTTGTTGGGTCTAGGTGTCTGGTGTCTCGTTTGCGACACTGGATGCCGAAAGCATCAAGCGCGTAAGCGTCAAACGCATCACAGACCCCGTCTCCTTCGATCCCGTGCTGGGCCACCCCGTGCGCGGCGGCCTCTATGACCCGGCCCTTGGCCCCACAGACAACAAGGACCGCTGTGAGACATGCGGGCTGCTCGGCGTTCACTGCCCGGGCCACCTCGGCCACGTGGAGCTCCCCTTGTACGTGTACCACCCCATGTACTTTGACCGCCTCTTCCTCCTCCTCCGCGCCACCTGCCTTCACTGCCACCGACTCAAGGCCACGCGCTTCCAGCTGCGCCTGCTTCAGTGCCAGCACAAGCTATTGGAGAACCAGTGCGTTGTCGCCGCCAAGGAGCTGCAGGAGCGCATTGACCTCGTGCCTGTGGCCCAGGTCTTCGAGTTCCTCGACACCTTCACCGAAGACGCCCTCAAGGGCATCAAGCGGCCAACCACGGCAGCCGGTAAGCGCGCCGTGCACACCACCAGGAACATTCACGTCCTCAAGTACAAGAACGAACTCAACGAGGAGTTCCTCTCCAAGTGCGTCCACGCCCGCAGCTGCCCGGTGAGTCCCCCGTGCCTTTGTGACAAATGCGACGAATGCCGTTGTAAGGTTACCCCGTCCCTGTTCGTGATACCCTGTTCGTGAGTGTTAAATAAGCCCATGGCCCATTTGTTCCACTCATCCGCGCACCAACCCTCTTGTCCTGGTGCTGTTTTGTTTGTCATGCACGCAGCACTGCAGCTGCATTTCGAGGCGTCTCCTTCAGGAGAACGCCATCAAAGTCTTCATGCAGGTATGCGCGGGCGATAGGGTTGTCCTGCAGGCGTTGGAGGTGTCATATTTTGCTCTCCCTTGCTTGTACCTCTTGCACCCGCACACACAAGCGTGTTTATCACTGCCTGTGGCTCTGTTGATACGCTCACATACACACACATACACACACTTGCACGCACACGCACACGCACGCACACACATGCACATACACACACTCACACACACACACACTCTCTCTCTCTCTTGTCTCTGCTTGCCAGGCCGTTGCGCGTGCGGACACGGAGATGGCCAAGATGTCGAAGCAGCCCAACCCGCCGCCCCGGTCCTGGTACGGGCGCCAGTACGTCTCTCCAGAGCTCGCCCGCGACCACCTGGTAGGTGTACACCCCATGCTCTGTAGCCCATCTGCTCTTGAAATCGCAACATTTGTGTGTGTGTGTGTGCATTTGTACGTGTGTGTGTGTGTGCATTTGTACGTGGGTGTGTGTGTGTGTGTGCGTGTGTGCGAGCGACGTTGTGAGGAGCGAACCTGTTGTCTCTCCTCCGCTACACCGCACTTTATTCCCCCTCTCACGCTACGCTCTGTGTGTGTAACGGTTGTGCCATCAGCTCAAGTGCGAAGAACTTGACAACGAGACCCTGCCCAAGATGTATGCATCCTTGCTCAAAGGTTCGTCCGCGCACGTGTGTTTGTGTGCGTGTGTGTGACCAATGTTGCAAAAGTACGCGTTTGTTCTGTGTGCTGCTGCGTCGTTTTGTTTTTGTCGGATTGTCGCTGCTCTAATTCTCTACGTCGTGCTTGCGCTGTCTCCCTTCCTTGTGTGTTGTGTTATGTGTGTGTGTGTGTACCTGTGTGTACCTGTGTGTGTGTGTGTGTGTGTGTGTGTGTGTGTAGACAAGACCAGTGGTCTGCAGCGGCGCTTCACCGCAGAGGTTTTTTTCGTCAAGGCCATCTCCGTTCCGCCAAACAGGTACCAAGCCACTGTCATGGTCTTGCATGCATTGCACTATTCTTCTTCGTGCGTGGTGTGCGTTCGCGTGTGTCCCTTCTGTAGTTTACCTGTGCATATCCCCCATACGCCCTTCATCCGTCACTCACTCACTCACTCCATCCGTCACTGTCTCCCCCGTTCGCTCTCCCTCCTCTTTCCCTCTGCTTTTCCCCTTCCCTTGTCTGTGCAGGTTCCGGCCGGTGAACTTCCTCAACGGGCAGTCGATTGAGAACGAGCGCACCATTGCGCTGGCAGACGTGGTCAAGGACTGCGTGGCCATTGACGAGCTTGTGCGCCACGACCCAAACCAGGAGTCTGCGCCGGGCAAGGCGACCTCCCGCGCCATGACAGAGAAGCGGTACCGTGAGCGCCTCACACAGGCCTGGCACGCCCTGCAGGAGCACGTCAACGTCTTCATGGACAGCTCCCTCTCCCCGCGCATGACAGGTTCGTGCATGTGTGTGTGTGCATGTGTGTGCATGTGCCTGTGTGTGTGTGTGTGTGTGCCTGTGTGGTTGCATGTGTGCCTGTGTGCGTGTGCGCCTGTGCGCGAAACCCTCCCATGCGAGTAGTTTTGCCAACCAGCCTCTTGCTCCCCTCGTCATCATGCCCTCAATCCCTTCGTTCATGTGCGCGTGTGTGTGTGTGTGTTGTTTTCCGCTGCAGACGCCAAGGGCATTCGCCAGGGCCTTGAGCGCAAGGAAGGTCTGTTCCGCATGAACATGATGGGCAAGCGCGTCAACTACGCCGCCCGTACCGTCATCTCCCCCGATCCGCTCATTGGCACGCACGAGATTGGCATTCCGGATGTCTTTGCACGCACGTTGACTTACCCGCAGCCGGTCACGCCCTGGAACATGAAGTATCTCCGCCAGTGCGTCATCAACGGCGCTGACCAGTACCCGGGTGCAACACACGTGCAGGTGTGTATGTGCGTGCGTGTGCGTGTGTGTGTGTGTGTGTGTGCGTGTCCGTGTGCATGTGTGTGTGTGTGGCTGCACTGTTCTCGTCCCTCCTCCCGTTGCAAAACTCAAACAGCGCACGTGTTTGTGCTCTCCCAATTTGCATGTAAACAGGATGAGGATGGGCGCATGATTTCGCTCAAGTACCTGAGCGAGGAGAGCCGCATCTCCGTTGCCGACCAGCTGCTCACGCGCAAGACAAAGACACTTGGCCGCAGCCACAAGTGCAAGATTGTGCACCGCCACGCCAAGAACGGCGACTGGGTGCTCATGAACCGCCAGCCCACCCTCCACAAGTCCAGTATCATGGCTTTCCAGGTCAGTCACGTGCGAAAGCGTGTGTCTGTGTGTCTGTGTGTGTGTGTCTGTGTGTCTGTGTGTGTGTGTGTTGTGCTGTCAAAGTCGGGTCAACAATACTGCCATCTCTCTGCGAGTATGGAATACGCAACAGCCTCACATATGCTGGGGTTCGTGTGCAGGTGCGCGTGCTGCCCAAAGACCGTGCCTTCCGTCTTCACTACGCAAACTGCAAGGTGGGTCCCAGGACGCACTGCGCCGTGACGTGCGCCCATGTGTCGCTGGTTCACTGCTGGTGTATTCACATGGCAATGAGGTCGCACGTTTGTGGGACCGACGCCGTTGAGCAAGTGTTCACATTGCTTCTAACGTGTGTGCTTGGCTCGCTTGTGCCTGCAGAGTTTCAACGCTGATTTCGATGGTGATGAGATGAACATGCATCTTCCGCAATCCGAACTCGCGCGCGCCGAGGCTGCAGAGATTGCCGCCAACTTCACACAGGTGTGGTAGCTGTAGGGTTGCTCAATGCCCATGCTGCTTTGAATGGCCCACACGCTTTCACACCTATTCTTTGCTGTGCCGCGCTCGATTGCGGACACCCCCCCCCCTCCTTGCCTCACCCCACCTTGGACACCGCCCACAATCCTCAACTCTTCATCCCCCCACCCCCATCACACCACCACCACCACCACCACCATCACCACCAGTACATTGGCCTTGGCGGCGGTCCGCTGCGCGGTCTGATCCAGGACCACGTCATTGCCGGCACCAAGATCTGCTGCCGCGACACCTTCTACGACAAGGACCACTACCAGGTCTGACACGAACGGCATGGTAGTGTGGCATGCGCATCCCCTCTGTCGGTGACACCCTGCATGCTGCGTTCCTGCTTCTGCTCACTGCCACCCCCCTCTATTCTTCCTCTGCCCATCGACTCACACCCAACGCGTGATTCTCGGTGCCCCCACTTGTGTGTGTGTGTGTGTGTGTGTGTGTGTGTGTGTGTGTGTGTGTGTGTGTGTGTGTGTGTGTGTGTGTGTGTGTGCCCAGGCGCTCGTGTATGCTGCGCTGGAGGACCGGGTGGACACGTGCGGGATTGAGCTGCTGCCCCCGTGCATGATCAAGCCACGCAAGCTGTGGTCCGGCAAGCAGGTCATCTCCACCGTTATGAAGAACGTCACCCGCGGCAAGGTTGGCGTCTACTACACAGGCTCCACCAAGATCAAGAACTCGTGGTCAAAGTGCTCCACAGAACTCGAGGTGCGTGTGGCTTTGTCTTCTATGTGCGGGGCTGTGTGCATGTCTACGCGCCTGTGTGATTACAACATGTTTAGAGGGGACGAGCGCAAGTTGAGGAGACGAGTGCAAACACACACACACACACACACACGCACGCACGTACACACACGCACGCACGCACACGCACGCACGCACATGCTCTCGACACATCCCTGCCACACATATGAGCACTGCACGCACACTTGGTATGCTCACGGCCGCTTGTTGTGGTATTGTTTGCCATCCCCATCAGGGCGAGTCGACCGTGATTGTGCGCGATGACGAGTTGCTGTGCGGTCTTCTCGATAAGGCCCAGTGCGGTGCCTCCAACAACAGCCTTGTACACGTCTACTTTGAGGTGCGTGTACCACTTGCGCTTCTCACACAACGCAGTTAACGCAGTCGAACCACAACACATGTGTGTCCACACATGCAAGCACATGCATGCACGTGCACATGCATGTCACACGCTCGTGTACATGCACTTCTTCTGCCTCACAAGCCCGTCGTTTTGTGTCGTCGTTGCCCATGCCTGCGACTTTTTTGTTTGTGCAGACGCACGGCGGGCGTGTTGCTGGCGATTTGCTGACTGCCTTTGGCAAGCTGTTTACCATGTGGCTCAAGTACCACGGCGCCACCCTCTCCATCGACGATCTTCTCCTCACAAAAGAGGCAGACATCCGGTGCGTCTGTGCGTGCGTGCGTGCGTGCGTGCGTGTGTGTGTGTGCGTGTGCGTGTGCGTGTGTGTGTGCGTGTTGCCCCCTGTCTGCCCCCATTATAATCGCTTCCCCAACTGCTGCTCCTTACATCTTCCCTCTTCCCTCTTCCCTCTTCCTTCTTGCCTTCCTTAGGCGCCGCAAGTCGATTGAGCAGTCTGAGGCGTCTGGCCCGCAGGCTGCGGCCAAGTTTGTCAAGCAGGAGGACCCCACAGACATCCCGCTGCTGCGCTCCAACATTGCCACGATTCTGCGTGACGCTGTGGAGCACAAGGGCCTGGACAGCACCATGGCTGGTGCGGCCAACAAGGTGCAGTCCGAGGTTGCTTGCTCCAAGAACATCCCCGATGGCCTCCTCAAGCAGTTTCCCGACAACAACTTCCAGCTCATTGTGCAGTCGGGTGCCAAGGGTTCCAACGTCAACGCCACGCAGATCTCCGGCATGCTTGGCCAGCAGATGCTCGAGGGCCGTCGCGTGCCCGTCATGATGAGCGGCAAGACCCTGCCCAGCTTTGCCGCCTTTGACCCCTCGCTGCGTGCTGGCGGCCTGATTACCGACCGCTTTCTCACGGGCCTGCGCCCGCAGGAGTATTTCTTCCATTGCATGGCCGGACGTGAGGGTCTCGTCGATACCGCCGTCAAGACATCCCGCTCAGGGTGTGTGCGCTGTGCTGTGCTGTGCTGTGCTGCGTGTGTGTGCTGTAGGATCTGTGCTGTGTGCGTGCGGTACATGGGGAGTAGTGCATTGATGCTTTCCTTCCTCCTCCTCCCCCTGTAGGGTGTGTTGTGCTTAACTAATGCTGTGAGCACGCATGTTCCTTGCGTTCGATTCATTCACACATGTTCCTTGCGTTCGATTCATTCACACTTGTCGTCACTGTTGCCACCGCAGTTACTTGCAGCGCTGTTTGATCAAGCATTTGGAGGACTTGAAGGTCCAATACGACATGACTGTTCGTGATTCTGATGGATCCGTCGTTCAGTTCAGGTACGGGAACCTTCTTCGTGTGCCTGCCTTCCTTTGCTATCTTTGCTTTACTTTGCTCGGTTTTGTTGTGTGTGAGGGTGTGTGTGTGTATGTGTGTGTGTGGCGTACGTGTGGTGTTTGTTTATAACAACACGTTGGGGTGACTCGCTTCTGTACTGTCCCAAACAACACGTCGCAACCCGTTGACCCTCATTGTCTTATCCATCACCGTTTTGCATGACCCCACAGGTATGGTGAGGACGGCATTGACGTGACAAAGGCGGCGCAGCTTGGCAACTTCAAGTTCTTTGCCGACAACTACCAAGGCCTGCTCAACCGCCTCTGTGCCGGCCGCATTGCTGACGCCTTCCCCGGCAAGGTGCGGTGTCAGTGGATCGTGCCTTTCGGCATGCAACCAATGTGTTCATGTCGCGACAGAGTCTGTTTTTGTTTTGTGTGCTTTCTTGGTCCAACCATGAGCTATGAACTTGATGCATGTGCACACTCTTCCTGTGAACATGACCTGGCTTTCATCGCACCTTTTTCTTGAGCACGAAGATCTCTTGATGAGGCTTTGCACTTGATCGTGTCCTCTCTTGATTGTATTTCCTTTCTCCCGCTCACTCCTGCCAACTTTTTTTTTTTGGTTCTTTTCGGTTCAATGACACCCTCTCCCCGCCCCGGCGCTTCTCTCTCCCCGCCGCGCCCCCGTTCTTGTTCTTTCTCCCGTTCCCCCTTGAGCACAGCTGTCGAAGGTGGCGATCAGGCAGATGAAGAAGGCCCTGAAGCACCCCGATGAGCACGATCCCGTGCTGACAACACTGCGCCCCGACACCCACCTCGGCTGCATCTCCGAGAAGCTGTACAAGGCCATGATTGAGTACGCCGACAAGCACAAGAACGACGTGCTTGTGCAGAAGTTCAAGGACACGGAGCTGAGCCCTGCTCGCTTCAAGTCGGTGGTGTACATGAAGAGCCACCACGCACTGGCAGATCCCGGCGAGGCCGTGGGCATCTGTGCTGCACAGGCTGTTGGCGAACCTTCAACCCAGGTCAGCGCCACAGTCGCATGCGTGTGAACATGTGGGTGGGTGTCCATGTACGGTGTGTGCGGGCATTTGCACATGAATGTGCACGCACATGTAAAATCACACGCACACATATGCAATGCAAGGCATGCACGATTACCATGGATGGCTCATTCATCGCCCACCGCGTTTGTTGGGTCTTTTTGCTTGTGCAGATGACGCTGAACACGTTCCATTTCGCTGGTCGTGGTGATGTGAACGTGACCCTTGGTATCCCGCGTCTGCGTGAGATTATCATGACGGCCAGTAAGGCCGCAAAGGTACACTTTCATTTGTATGCCTCCGTGTTCGTTCATGCTTCTGCATGTGTTGTATGTCTGTGTATGTACTTGTGTGTGTGTGTGTGTATGTGTGTGTGTGTGTGTCTGAATGATATCCGATACCACGGGTGGCTCTCCTCTCTACTTTCTGCTCACACTTACTCACTCAAACACACAACACACACACACACACACACACACACACACACGCACACACGCAAACCCTTGCTGTTGTTGCGCGTCTCCTCTCACGCTTGACTACACGACCAGACGCCACTGATCAAGGTGCCGATTCTTCCCGTGGAGAATGCTGTGGAGCAAGCAGAGAAGCTTGCTGCGTCGCTCAGCCCCGTCCTGCTGAAGGATGTGCTCAAGGGCGTTGACTGCACCACCTGGCTCTCCCGCTTCAAGTCTGGCGAGTTTGTCCGCTACTACCGCCTTCACTTCAAATTTATCGACACCGAAGTCTACCAGGAGGTGAGCACATTGGCTTGTTTTGTACCTGCGACGGCTGTTGCTGTCACTGCTTTGTGTTCGACAAGGACTGGGGCTCTTGCTTTCGCTCCCTCAAACACCAGCGTTCACGCCACCACATCTGCCACCACCACATCACCACCACTGTCACTACGACTGCCATTGACAACGCCTTCCCCCTTGCGTTTGGTCTGTGCAGCGGTGTGCCATCTCTGCCGAGGAGCTGTTCACTCGACTGGAGAAGACGGTGTTCCCCAAGCTGCCGCGCATTGCTGGCACGTGGTACAAGCGGTTTGCACAGGCCGACACCGTGGCCGTGACCAAGGCATCGGGGCTGGACGTGACGCCCAAGGACGCCGATGCTGACGATGACGACGACAACAAGGCTGGCGGGTACGACGAACGCAAGCGTGCGCGTGATAACGTTGACGAGACCAACGGCGATGAGGACGTGGACTCCAGCGAGAGCGAAGAGGAAGAAGAGGACCCAGAGTCCGGCACAGACCAGGTGTGTGTGTGTGTGCGTGTCTGTGTGTGTGTGTATGTGCGTGCGTGCGTGCGTGTGTGTGTGTGTGTGCGTGTGTGCGTGCGTGTGTGTGTGTGTCTGTGATAAACACCGCAGTCTTGAACTCGCGCCGTCGGTGACCATCCTGCCATGATCAGCTCACTATGTCATAATGCCGCGCTGCTGTTCAGGCGCATCTGTCGAGCGATGACGATGAAGACACGCGGCGCCCCGGCCCGCGCAAGGTGAAGGTTGACGAAGGTCTGGAGGACGAGGCCATCATGGACATTCGTGCGGATGCAGAGGCGACGTTTGCCACGCCGGACCCAGACAGCGATAAGGGCAAGCGGGCGGCCGAGCTCAAGGCGCGGTGCAAGCCGATTGTCGACTACAACTACGACGAGGACCGTGGCGAGTGGGCCACTCTCACGCTGCGGGTATCTGCGGAGCAGCCCATTGTTCCGTTCATCACCATGCTCGAGTCGGAAGCCCACAAGCTCATCATCCGTCAAACAAAGGGCATTCGCCGCTGCATGCTCGGCAAGAGCAGCGAGGTGTGTGTGTGTGTGTGTGTATGTGTGTGGGTGTGGGTGGGTGTGTGGGTGTGTGGGTGTGCGTGTGTGTACGTGTTCGTGGGGCGGGTGGGTTCACGTGTCTGTGTGTGTGTGCACATGCTTGTGGCCTGTGCTTGTGCGCGTGTTGTGCGTTGGGCAATCTTGCATGCAGCGTGTGCTGATTCCGGCAATCTCTGCATATGCGCGTTGTTGCAGGAGCAAGACACGCCGGATGTATTTATGGTTGAGGGTCTGAACATGCGCGTTGTCCGTGAGCACGCCGACATTCTCGACCTGAACCACCTCGAGTGCAACGATGTCTATGCGGTACGCACCTTCTCGCAGTGTGTGCGTGTGCTTGCGTGTGTGCGAACACTTCTTGCTGACACTGACATCCGCTTCCGCGCGCAGACACTCACATATGTTTCCTGCTGACACCACTGCTGGTGTTTTGTGTACGCAAATCAGATGCTTGAGGCGTATGGGATTGAGGCTGCGCGTGACAGCATCATCCGCGAGCTGCGCGCCGTCTTCAACGTCTACGGCATCACCGTCAACCACCGCCATCTCAGCCTCATTGCAGACTACATGGTGCGCAGCTGAATCTGTGTGTGTGTGTGTGTGGGGGGGGGGGGCTTCCTCTCCTCTCTTTTTCTTTCCTTTCATTGGCGGTGGCTTCCTTTGCGTCTCACTTGATATCGACGACAAACTGACACGTACGACTACATCCTCTCCCCTCCGAACTTGCGCATGCGTGTGTGTGCAGTCGTTTGAGGGCACGTACCGCGGCATGAACCGCATCACCATGCGCTCCAACGTGTCGCCCTTCTCCCAGATGAGCTTTGAGACCACCGTCGACTTTCTCAAGCGCGCGGCGCTCGGCGGCGCACACGAACCCCTCAGGGTCAGTGTGTGTGTGTGTGTGTGCTCGTGTGTGCTCGTGTGTGCTCGTGTGTGCTGGGGTTTTTTCTTGTCTGCCTTGTCTGCATTCAAGTGTGATGACCACAACTTGTGCATGCATAATCTCCTCCCATTCGAACAAAACTCACGAATGTCCGCCCCCCCCCCTTCCTGCCCGTCCTCCTCCTCAACTTCCCTCTGCTCTATTCAGTCGCACTCCTCGCGTCTTGTGGTTGGCAAGCTCACGACCACCGGCACTGGCAGCTTCGACATTGTGCAACCCCTTCTCGAATAACCGATTTGCCGCTCTGTCTGTTTGTCTGTCTGTCTGTCTGTCTGTCTGTCTTGTCTCTCTGTCTCTCTCACTCTCTCTCACCTTGTATCCTCCTCGATTGGTGTGTGTGTGTGTGTGTGTGTGTGTGTGTGTGTGTGTGTGTGTGCGTGTGTGTGCGTTTTCGCTTGTCTCTGCTGGCTTCCTCGTCTCTGCTCCCTGGCTTGTTTGGCTTGTTGTTGAATGACACGTGCATTACAAACCCCCGAAAACATTTTGATTACGTTCAATGGTGCTGGCCATTCCCGTATACACGTCATGTGTGAGACAGCGGGTCGTACAATTGCGTTTGTTTGTATTTGGAGGATGGAGGATTGGTCGGATTCTGCAAGTGAAGGCAGCAACCCACAGTGGGACATGCACATTGGTGGTGTGATAACAAGCACGGCTGACGCGCGTGTTGATGAAAGCAGGGCGTGATAGGAAGCGAGCAAACGCAAACGCAAAGCCGACTGCCTTTTGTTTGTAAGAACACATACGCACACACGCACACACGCACGCACGCACGCACAACGTGGAGAAAAGCGTACGAGGCAAGAACCGACCCCAAGGCACACATAGTGGTGGTGGAGGAGGAGTATGCATAGGTCGAGGGGTATGCATCGGTCGGTGACGAAACAAAGGTGGTGGAGGTATGGCTCGAGACACAAACCGAAACACCAGAAGAAGAAAACAACAGAGGTGTGGCAAAAAGACTGGCTACGTTGACGTTTGTGCGAGATGAGATGGTGCGGGTCAGCAAAAGGGGGCGGGGGAGGGGGAGAACATGGCGTTTGGGCAGGGCAACTTGTTGAGGAGGAGGCGGCAAGGACGAGATAGGGGCAATGCCAGCAACATAACTAGGTTGGTTGCACGAAGACGACGGTGACGACGACGACGACTACTCAAGGAAGAGCTTGTTGTAGTCGCTTGCGGAGAGGGTGTTGCGGCCAAAGAGGTCGTGTTCGCGCTCGAGGAGCTGCTCGAAGAAGCCCTTGTTGGGGGCAATGGCTGGGCGTAGCCGCTTGAGGTAGTGCACGGCGCCCTTGAGAGTCCAGCCCTGGTGCAGCAGATATGCCAACACCATGGTTGGTGAGCGGGACACGCCCTCGTCGCAGTACACCTGTTGGGGGAGGGGGGGGTTACGTGAGTGAGTAAATATATCATGTAATGCAAGATGATGGGGATTGGCAGTTGGTGAAGAGAAACAAGAGGAGGTGCGCGTGTGTGTGTTTGTCACAACAGACAAAAAGAACACAGAAAGGCACAGAAATGTACACAAAGAGATACAAAAAGGTTTACACACACACACACACATACACACACACACACGCACACACACACACACACGCACACACACACACACACACACAAAGACACTGCTCCATTCGCGACACAAATGTTTGCTTGCATGGAGCACAGTGTGCATGGAGCATAAACGCACCAGAACGCGGTGGTACTCGTCGCCAGAGTCCCAGGCCTTCTTGCCGAGGTCAATAAAGTCGCACGCCTTGTCAAACTCCATGATGATGTTGTCGGTCTCGACGTCCTCAGCAGGGAGGCGAAGGTACTGGCGAATGTCCGCGGCCTTGAGCTCCGCCTTGACTTCCTCGGGCGTCTCAACGTTGGAGACCTGAAGCACGTAGGCGATGCGAGCATTGCGAAGGGCTTCCTGGTCGCGGATGGTGTAGCGATCGCCCAGGTAGAGCCATGAGAGCACGGGCACGGGCTCGTGGCCGGGCTTTGCGCCCTCGACGTGCTCGCGCTTGGCAACCCTCAGGCTGGCGTCGAGCTTGGCCCGCTCGTGCTTCTCGTGCTCCTTGAGGGTCTGGTCGATGGCACGGTCAACGTCCTGCAGGCCGTAGACCCAGGACGCCGCGCCGCTTGCACTGATGAGGTTGCCCATGACGGATGGATGGATGTGGCTTGAAGCGAGTGTGGGTTGCGGGAAAGTCGCTTGTGGTGTTGATGCTGTTCACTATCAGACCACACCAATGAAAGCAAGAAGCAGTGGTTGTGTGGAACGGATGCAACGGTCGTTGCCAAGAAGAAGGAAGACGTGCGTGGAGGAAGAAGAGGAAGAGAGGATCGATGGGTGCTGGGTGAGTGAACTGTTGGAACTATTGGATCGATGGGTGGGTGAGTACACACACTATTGTCTTCTTGTTGTGGTTGCGATGGCAAGTGTTGAACATGTAGAAAAAATGACACAATCGTCAATCACCAGCCATAGCACATCAACAAATCAACAAGCACGACAATCGTGGGGGCTGTGACACAATCGACTGCAATGCCAGGTCGGTCGTGGACATGTATGCAAGCAAAGCAAGCCCGAGCCAACCAACCAGCAGCAAAGCACACACGCAAACGCACACGCAAACGCACACGACGAGCACGGCGTCCTCACCTGTCTGGTCTGTGTGTGGTCTCTGATCTTGCGCTTGCGTGAGATTGCTGCGTTCGCTGATGCCAAGCGCACGACGAAAGAAAGAAAGCAGGAAAAAAAAAAACCTCCCCAAAAAAGTAAGGAGAGGTGGAAAAGTTAGACAAATTATGTGCTAATTTTCGACAGTGTGCTGATGGTTCGTCCCACATGCAATTGCATCATGACTGGTCCTGTACTGAATTCAGTCTAATCGGCACAAAACAGGATAAGCTTGAAATTGATACAACGACAGCGACATTCAAAACTGTCGTGAAATCAAGCTCGCTTGCTCGCTTGCTTGCTCGCTTGCTGAAAAGATACACACAACACGAACCAACACCAACAACATCAACATCAACAACACCAACAGCCACCATGTCGTCGTTGTTGGCGGAGCATGAGAAGAGCTTCAACGCTCTCATCACAGACATCAACCGGATGTCAAATACCATCCCAGACCTCTCCAAAGGTGGTGGAAGTCTGTCCGATGCTGTGTTTGTGATCCTCCGTGTGTGATGGTGTGATGGTGTGTGATGGTGTGTGATGCTCTGTGTGTGTGTGATGGTGTGTGCTGCTCTGAGCGTGTGTGCTCTGAGCGTGTGTGCTGTGTGTGTGTGTGTGTGTGTGTGTGTGTGTGTGTGTGTGTGTGTGTGTGTTTTGCATGTTGGAGTTTGTGCTTGCTGAAGTTTGCTCACCGTTTGTTCCATCGTGTTGCTTTGCGGTTAGATGACAAGAACAGGGAAATCAACGCCGGCCATGACGCTGTGGAGGAGGCCATGGAACTGGTCCGTGCGTTGTTTATGCCTTGTGGTTATGGTCATGATTGTGGTTGTGTATGTCTGTTCGCATTCTTGCTTGTGCTTGACACTGTTGTTCGGTGGTGTTCGTGTGCGTCGTCCCTGCTCATGTCGTGCTGGTTCTTGTTCTCGTTGTACTCTGCGCGCGTGCGCGTGCGCGCTTGCCATATGCGTATCCTGCGTTTGATGTGTGTGGCATGTCGTCATCATGCTCCTCACGACTGTCAACGAAACAACGTGCAACTGCAGCTGGAGCAAATGGAGCTGTGCATTGGCGAAACTGAAGCAAGTGAGCGCGCTGCTGTCAAGCAACGCATCGCCTCCTACAAATCACAACTGAAGGACAGCGAAGCGAGATTGGTCCGTTGCCTGGAGGCGGTCTTGTTCCTGTGTAATTGTGTGTGTGTGTGTGTGTGTGTGTCTGTGTCTGTGTCTGTGTCTGTGTGCATCTGATTACTTCTGCGTCTCTGTTTACCTCTGCGTCTCTGTTAACCTCTGCGTCTCTGTTGACGTTGGTGTTGACCATGTACGCATGCATGCGTGCGTGCGTGCGTGCGTGCGCACCTGTGCCTATACGTACCTAACGCACGCCGCGGCGACGCCGTGGTGCTTGCGTCTCCACGACAGAAAAAGGCCGCCGTTGCCATGTCATCCAGCCAAGCCGCGCGTGACGAGCTCTTTGCTTATGACGGCACTTCAGAAGACTCGGTGTGCTTGTGTGCCTGTGTGCTTGTGTGTCTGTGTGCTTGTGTGTCTGTGTGTTTGTGTCTGTTGTTGGACACCCCCACGTGCGCGTACTGTACTGTTCCAGCCAAAGCAACAAAAGTGTTTCTCACTGTCCGTTCACTGTGCCTTACTCCTAACGCCGTGCCTCCCCTTTGCTCCCGTTTTGTCACCAACAATCCCCCCCCTCTCTCTCTTCCTTCTTCATTCTTCCACACAGAGGGCGGCGCTGTTGACGAACACGGAGCGGCTGAACCGGACCTCTGAGCGGCTGCAGGATGGCCACCGCGTTGCCATGGAGACAACAGAGGTTGCCGTCGGTATCATGGACAACTTGCATGATCAACGCGACACAATCGAGCGCTCCCGCGGACGGGTACGCCGTCCGTGTGTGTGTGTGTGTGTGTGTGTGTGTGTGTGTGTGTGTGTGTGTGTGTGTGTGTGTGTGTGTGTGTGTGTGTGTGTGTGTGTGTGTGTGTGTGTGTGTGTCTGTGTGTCTGTGCGTGTGTGTGTGTGTCTGTGCGTGTGTGTGTGTGTGTGTGTCTGTGTGTCTGTGTGTGTCTGTGTGTCTGTGTGTCTGTGAGTGTGTGTGTTGGTCAGGAAAGGAGAGCGTGTTTGTACGTGTACACGGCCTGGTTCCTGTCTGTCAAGGGTTGCCCTTGTCTCCCTCTGTTCCCCCCCTTCTTTGCCCATCATTCGCGCCACACCTCATCCAATCTTCAACGCCGCGCTGCATGCTTCTGATCACCATCAGCTGCGACGAACAGACGGCGAACTGGGCAAGAGCAACAAGATTCTTAACAACATGATTGCGCGGTAAGGTGCAGCACCTGCACTCACACACGAGCCTATCATTCCTGCGTGCAACACCAACACTCCCCACCTTTGAAACATGTGCCATCCGTCACCAAACTCACACTCGCCACACCCACCCCCCCCCCACCCACACACACACACACATACAGAGCCAAGCGGAACAAGGTGGTGGCTGCGTTCATCATCATCATCGCCATCTCCCTCATTGCCGCCATCATTTATCTCATCGCAAGTCGATGATGATCACGCCTTCAACAACATCCGCTGTCGCAGCATTCACATGTTCACACGCATGTGCGTTCACGGTTTCTGTGCCAAGTCAATTCATGAGTATGATTGATACATCACCACTTCTTCTTGTTCTTCATCTGTTTCTTCTCCGCTCCTCCTCCTGCTTGCTTACAGTTTGATTTCTTTGTGCGCACACCCTTCGCCGCTGTTTAGCAGTAGTGCCTGTGCTTCCCACGTGCGTCTTATTCCTTCTTGCCGCAACGATTGCGTGCTGATGTTGTTGCCCATCTTGTTGTCGTTACACCAGTACACATCGCATGCAACACACGCTCTGCTTGGACCACAGAGGACACAGAGAACGGTGGGAGGGATAAACAGAGAGGGGGAGACAGACAGACAGACAGACAAAGAGAGGGGGAGGGAGGGAGACAGACAGACGGACAGACAAAGAGAAGAGAGAGGGAGGGAGGGAGGGAGAGAGAGAGAGAGAGAGAGAGAGAGAGAGAGAGAGAGAGAGAGAGACAACACTAGACAGACACACACAGAACGACCCAACACTCGACCCCCACACACAAACACACACACACACACTTACATACATACACACACACACACACAGACAGCTAGCTAACCGAAGCGCGTCCCCAAAAATACACTGAACACGGGATGCGCGCACGATATTCTACATTGCTTCTCTTCACACCGTCACAAACATGGACAAACCACGTCTCCTCACACCCACAACATGTAGCATATCACAACACCCCGACAAAACGTCTCACCACAATACACGTGTGTCATTAAATCATACTCTCGCACTCATCCCAGTCATCATCGTCGTCGTCACTCACCAGCTGCTCCCCGCGCACAGAAAGCCGTTGGTTTGCACCGACAAACGCTGCGTTCCGCTTGAATCCTTTCTGCGCCAACCAACCTGCTTCACTCTCCGTCATCATCCACTCGCCAACACCGCCAACACCGCCACCACAAGCACTGCCGTCCGCAGCAGTTGTTCGTGTCTTGCGGGCCTCGTTTGCGCTCATGTGCCCTTCGTCACCACTGCCAACAGCAAACTGCTGCAGCCCAGTAAAGCCAGTGTATGCTCCATCATCGCTGTCATCAACATTATCGCTGCCTTCACTCCCATCACCACCACCACCACCACCACCGCCACCACCACCACCACCACTGCTGCGTTGCGTCGATGCGCATGCGTGGTCTTGTGGATATTGAACAGCACCAAACATGGCTGGCGCCCGAGAGACAGCCGACCCCCACTGGTTCCTCATCGCCAGCGACCTCTGCTCGCCGCTGCCTTCTCCGCCCATCTGCTGACGGTGCTGTTGGTACTGTTGTGAGCGTGCACGGCGCGGTGCCATCGCAGCTGTTGTTGTGTTCGATCGTGACCGTATCTGGCCAGCCATCCCCATCTGCGCGTGGGCCTGACGGCGCGCGCCGGTTGCACTCGCGTCCATGGATCGCTGTTGCATGCGGTGCACAACCCGTCCGCCGCCGCCCCCGTCACTCCTCGCGGTCCTCCTGCTGTTGCTGCCGGTGCGGTTGCGGCGCAGTGCCCGCTTCACTGTCTTCAAAAACGTGCCGCTGCGCGTGTGCTGCACACTGTCATCTTCGTCATCATCGTCGCTATCATCATCACCAAGACCACGCTCGCCGTGGGCGTCCCCGCTGCGCTTTTTGCTCTTCTTCCTGGGCTTGTGCTTCGCTTCTGCTGCAGACTTGGCGCTCTGTGACCGCGCCAGTGGCCGATCGCCCACATCTGCGCCCGTGATGGACGATGTCGTCTCACGCAGACTCTGCGATGTGCGGTGGATACTCCCTTGGGGCGCCGCGTCGTCGTGCACACGCGAATTCTGTGTGCGTGTGTGTGTATGTGTGTGTGTATGTGTGCGGTGTGTGTAGTTGGCACGGGCGTTTCTCCGCGTGAGCAAGAGCGCGTGCAACACGTGCCGCAGTGTGCGCGCAAAGGACAACACCCAACACACACACAAACCCACATCACACACTCTCTCACAAATTAATTGAGACACACCACACACTCTCTCACAAATTGACACACGCAACCCCATCACTACACAACAGTGCCACGATTAACATCACCCCTTGCTACATAGTGCAATGTCGCAACTCACCTGTGATCGAAGCGAAGAGGTTTGCCGCTTGGTGCTGTGGGGTGTGGTCAAGTGCGCAAGAAACGCTAGCGGCACTGCGCCTCGCTCGCCCGTCTCCTTGACAACACCAACCACCAGCCGCTGCCTCGGTGGCTCGTACGCAATCAGCGTCTGCCCAGCATAGATGGTAAAGCCCGTCACCTTGTTCGTGTAGCGGAACACGGCCTTGTACTCAGACGGTCCACCACCATACCCACCGCTGTTGCGGTTGCTGCCACCGCCTCCGGTGCCATCGCCGCCACGACGACGTGTCGACGACGATGATGGTGATGTTGCAGCTGCTGCGTTTGCTGTTCCACGCGGGCGACTCGGTGTTGTCATCGCCCGCTGTCGCACCTGCTCGTTCATTCGTGCCGCCAGCTTGCGTGCCCGTTCGCCAATCACGACGCGGCCACTGCCACCACGTGCGCTGACGCTGCTACCGCTGTTGCTGCTGCTGACATGGCTGCCAGAGTCAGCGTCACGGCGCCTCCTGTCATCGCCACTCCCGTAGTCTCTGTCGCGCTGCCCATGACCACCAACACGATGCTGCTGCTGGTGGTCTTCGCGTGACGGCTGTAGGTCCTCCAGTGCAACTCTCGCTCCACCCTCGTGCTGAAGGGAGCGCACACGGTTGGGATGGTGATGGCTGCCGTCAGGGCCACGCGGCCGCTGTGCAGCAGAGAGCGGAAGAGACGCCTGTCCTCGCATGTGGTTGTGTCGATTCCTCTGCGCATGCCGCGACAGCAACGCCGTCACCTTCTCGGACCCCAACGCCTGCACCTGGCGAACCAGCAGCGCTTCAATGTACCGCGCTTCTCCTGCGCTAAGCACTTCCACCAAACGAGTTGGCTCCACCGCATCCACATCATCGTCACCACCACCTTGGCCTTCATCGCCATTGCCTTTATGACGCCGACGCTCCTGCCGGTGCTGCGTTTGCTGATCGCGTTCACTACTTGCGCCACGCGTTTCAGTCTCGCTGTCACCGGTGGGAAGAAGTGACGACGACGATGGCGGAGAGGACGAGATGGATGAGTCGGCGCTCGTCCTCGCTCCTTTGCGTCTGTTTCCGCCACGCCGCTCGCTTCTGTTTGTTCTCCTTCGTCGTCTTCGGCCCTGTTGTCCACCATGTTTGGGCAACTGGCCGTCCTCGCCGCCACTACCATGCTGGGGTTCGCTGCGCGTACTCGCATCATCGTCGGAGCTCTGTGGGCGCTCTGCTTCGCTCCCTCTGGTCACGCCTTTCCGTCCCAGCCCAGCACCACCAGCTTGCGCAGCGTGACAGCTCCCTCTCGTGTCTGCTTCCTCGTCGCCATCATGAACAGCGATTTCGGCAGCGGCATCCTGGCGTTCTGGCTGCTTGTTCTTGTCCGTCTTGGGCTGCACATCATCACTGTCACCGTCACCGTCATCGTCGTCACTATCATCTGCACCACCACCACCATTCTCAATTCTCACTTCAGGCTTGGTTGTACCGCCACTGCAGGCGCCAGCACCACTTCCGTCTTCAACATCTTCATCCTCATCAAAGACACGAACCATAAAGTGGGCACCAGCACCACCGCCACCACCGCCATTCTGCGGTTTCGACGTGGAATTGCACGGCACTGTGAGCACGCGCTCGTTATCGCTGCTGTCGCTGTCCTCTTCCTGGCTGGAGCCCACGCTCAGCACAATCGGTGGGCGTGCGCTGCGACTGTGACTGTGCTGCCCTTTCCATCCAATATGTGCATCATCCACCGTCAGCGTGGGGCCTGCACGTCTGTTACCGCCGCCACCGCCATTTGCGGTTGCCGCATCCTCCAGCAAGAAGGCAAGCTCAAAGTCACTCTTGCGAGCACTGCTGCGGTTGCTGCGGTTGGAGTAGACGGAGTGCCGTGGGCTGCGGGCTGGGTACATGCTCTCGCGACGAGAGGGTAGCAGGCTGCCACGCCGAGACGGGTACATGCTTTCCCGACGGAAACCACCGGTGCCGTCAAAGAACCCGCCATCCAGCGTGTTGACAGCAGTCTCATCAGTGAGGAACTCGTCGCCCGCGAACGACTCATTGAAGACAACGCCGTACACCTTGGGGAAGAAAATGGTGCCGAGTGCGAGCACGGATGTCATGCCCGTGGAGATGATGTTGAAGAGGAGGCGAGCGCGCCCCGTCATGCCCAGCGTCAGCGCCACGCCCGGAACAATCACGCCGGAGAAGAGCAGCACGAGAATCACAAACGCGCTCTCGCCAAACTGGTCTGTGCGCACCTGCCGCGTCTTGTACAGCAAGGAGAACCCAATGCCCAGGTAGAGCAGGTTGCACAGGAGCGTGGTGATGGACACCTCCAAGCCATCGCCACACACCAGGCGGCGCTCAGCAAAGGGGTCGTTCTCAATCAGGTCAACCTCCGTGCGAATCGGGTAGAGCAAGGTGACGACACCCAACACGATGGCCTGCACGGCCACATATGTCAGCCCGCGCACAATCATGCGCGTCTCGGAGAGGTCGAGCTGCTGCTGTTCACTCAGGGATGAGAAGAAGATCTTGTAGATGCGCCATGTCTTGACCAGGAGATTGCTCATGATGAAGGCAAAGGACATGGCGTTGAGCCAGGCGTACAGCGTGCACCGCGTGTCGGAGAGCTCGCCCACCAGCACAAACACGGTGCACAGCCCAATGGCAATGCCAAGGAGGATGAGCAGGCAGAACACAAGCGACGTGCCCTTGACAACGACGTGGTTGCGCCACCGGATAAACAGCACGGCAACAGCGATGGTGATGGTCAGTGCAATGCAGTTGAACGTGACCAGCAAGATGGCCACGCCGTTGTCGTAGTCGAGGTAGATGGGTGGCAGTTTGCAGTCTGGTGGCAGGCGCCCAGGCAAACACTCGCACGCGTTTTCCGTTGTTGTGCACGTGTTGAAATCAGTGCGCCCAAACCCGCGGGCGGAGGCAACACGACACACGGCGCTGCCAGTCTCATTGGTGAACTCGCCGACGAAATCAAGTGCCACATCCGGCCCCTGCAGGGGAAAAAACACGAATCGGATTGGAGCGGAGGTGTGGAGTGGGAATGAGTCATGAATGCATACGGTGGGCGTGTGTGTGCATGTGTGTGCGTGTGCTTTTGTATGTGTGGGCGTATGTGTGGGCGTGTGTGTATCTGGATGCACGATTGTATCTGAGAAGATGTGTTTGCTCGAGCTGAGCCAGCCGTTTCTCTGTTCCACATACCCGACATGGAGTGCACGCAGCCAGCGCAGATGTTGCAGCGAAAGTTCCGGGCGCACACGGCGCACACGTGACCGTGCCCTTGCTTGCTGCATGAGTGCCTGGTGGACATGGTGTGCAGGTGATGAGACCGGGAGTTGCGGCAGCAAATCCGCGTTCGCATGGCGTGCATGTTGGCTGCCCTATCAGCGCCTGGCTCGAGCCGGGCGGACAAGGCAGACACTTGGCGTGGCCTGGCGTCTCTGCATACGTGCCAACGCTGCACGGTTTGCACACTTCCGCGCCGGCCTCTTGGACAGCAAACCCTGCAATGTCAGAAGGGGAAATGTGTTGATGAGCGCGTGTATGTGTGTGTGTGTATGTGTGTATGTTTGTGAATGTGTGTATGTGAATGTGTGTGTGTGCATATGTGTGTGTGTACGTGGATGTGCGTGTGTGTGAATGTGTGTGTGCAAGTGTGTGTGCAAGTGTGTGTGAATGTGTGTGTGCAAGTGTGTGTGTGTGTGTGTGCGTGTTTGTAATTGCGTGCGCGTGGACGCTTGCAGATATGTGTGTGTGTGTGTGATGTCGCCGCGCATAGAGGCAGGTAACAACGTACCAGGTGGGCAGGGATTGCATGTGGTGGCGCCTGGCTCTGGCGCGTGTGTTCCGGGCGCGCACGGAGCGCATGTGTTGGTCTCCTCCGTGGCCGATGCCCGAAATGTTCCTGGTGAACACCTCACGCACGTCTCCGTCGCGTTGATGGCAGACTCAAACCCGGCGGGGCAGAGGGGAGAGGACGTGTACGTGATGGTGACAGGAAGGAGGCCAGGATCACCCAGCGCCAGCAGCGACACGCGCAGGTCCTGCAAGTGGTGAGGCAGGCATGTTGAGTGATTATCAGTGTGGCGGTGTGACATGTTGTGCAGTGATGTGCAGTCGTCATCGTTCATGGGGCTGGCACTTCTACCCTATCACAACCTCCCACACACACGCACACACGCACACACGCACACATGCACACACACACACACACACACACACACCTGGCCTCTCGTTCGTCCTTACCTGCACGCTTACGCTCTGGCCCGTCAAATCGCAAGACACATGGCTCGGTCTAGGATGAACCGGGGAGTAAAAGGCCTAAGCTGTCGTTTTCACTGTACGACGATAGATGACTAAGCGCCCAGGCCAACCTGGCGCGAGCGGTCGTAACCCTGTCTACAGTTACAGTGTCAACACACACCACCACACACACACACACACACACACACACACACACACACACAGCACACACACGCACACACGCACACACGCACACACCTTGGAGAGGAGCTTGAGGGTGACGGGGAGGATGTCGCCTGATGTTGTGCGATAATGAGACGGAGACAGTGGGCCTGCAACCGTGGAGGGGAACTGGCCATCGAGGCGTGGTCATGGAGAAGAGGGTGCCCGGGTCAAGCTGTGCCCCTGCAAACGCCACTTGCACGCTTGCAGCTGGGCCGGGTGGAGTGATGTGCCATTCCCAATACGTCAGCGCCTGAGATCCTGTGCATGTGTCGTGGATGGTGGCTGCCTGTGCCGTCCACTTGTGGACATATGCGCAGACGCGGCTGTTGGCGCTCGTTGGCCGATCAACCGCGCTTGTTTCGGGTGCCGACGTCAGAGGCTCTGTGGCATTCACACCGCGCAGAAACGCAAAGACCACTGGAAAAGCCAAAAATGCAGTCTTTTCGCGTGAGTCCAAGAAAAACCAAGCACATTCATTCGAAGGAGAAAGTAGCCTGTCGTCGCCTGCACTCATCTTTCATTCACTCATTCACTTCACACTCATCACGACATGAGCATCTCCCTAATGTAACCACATCTCTATGTCATCATGGCATCTTGTCCTGCGCAGCACACACACACGCACCTTCGCCGAGCGTGGTGTCCGCTGGAATGGCTATTGGGGTCTGGTCAACATGCGACCGCACTGTCGTGGTAAGCGTGTTGTGTGGAACGCACACGCGGTGCACGGCGGTAAAGCCCGTGGACGACGCGCGCCCGGCAAACGCCACGTCGATGATACGCTCGCCCTGCGCGGTCGTGGCGATGGCCATGCCGGGAAAGGTGAGGGCATCGGTGAACAGCGCGACGCTGGCGAGCCGCACGAGTTGAAGTTCGCTCAGCCAGGCCACGGCGATGCGGTGGTGCTGCAGCGCTTGTTGCAAGTCCTGAAGGTGTACTGTGCCCTGGAGCATACCCAGCTGAAGGAATGTTGCAGTTGCTGGCAGAATTGCAATGTCGCAACCGAGGAGAGTGCTCAGGGCGCGGCCAAGCAAGCGCGATGTCTGGCAGCCATAAAAGCTGGCAGGGAAGATGGTGCAGGGGAGAAACATCGCACCAGTGCACATGTAAGGGTACGAGTGAGAGAGGCAAGATATGCACAATATAGCAGTCGGTTCAATAATTGTCTGTTGGGCTCGTCTGTCCATGAACGTATGCATGTGTGTGTGTGTGTCTGTGTGTGTATGTGTGTCTGTGCGCGCGCGTGCGTGTGTGCGCCTGTGCGTCTGTGTGTGTGTGTGTGTGTCTGTGCGTGTCTGTCTGTCTGTGTGGTTGTGTCTGAGCATTGTCACACGCGATGCTCTGCAAGTCTGGACTATGTTATGCTTGATTGTCACCGTCAAGGCAAGCGAGTAAGCGACAAGGTAGCCTAGCTTGCACTTGGCACGCCACTGCACCGCTCTTACCCGCAAGTCGCCTCTGGCCACGCCGGTGCTGGGAAGGTACGGGTGGATGAGTTGAGCTGCGCATCGATGCCGGGCCCGTATCGCTGTGTCTCCTCGGCGATGACGTCGCACAGCGCAGCATCAGCAGCGTCACTGGACGATGCCGACGTGGGGCAGGCAGGCGGCTTATAGGGCGACCGCGACCAGCTGAGGACGATGCCATTTGAAGCATTATTCCCTGTGACGGCGAGCGTGAGTGTCAGCTCGGCTGTGTCTGGTAGCCACACTGCGTGTGTGACATCACCGGCAAATGTAAGAGGTTGCTGGGAAGTGGGCGCCCGTGTTGAGGTGTCACGCGACACAGCCGCCGCAAACGTCATTGACGCCTGTACGCTCTCCATCAGCTGGGCGGTGATGGACGGGGGGAAGTAAGACAGAAGAACGTTGACGCCGTCACTGCTTGTGGCGCTCGCCTCGGCGCCGGCTTGAAGCAGCTGCCATCACGAAACAAGCAAGCATGCCGTGCGCAGGCGAGAGGACCCAGGTGAGCGAAGAAGAAGGCGTGCCACTGGGTGCATGCATGGAGCGTGCAGTTCTGACTGCGTCTGGGAACAGCCGCATGCTGTCTCCTAGCACAGGGCCCACAGACATGTCAGCAAGCAAACAAGCAAGACAGGCACCTTGTCAGCCGCGACCCGAAGACAGGCGGACGTTGTGGAGCTCTCAATGCCTGCAGGCAAACATTACAGGAAGCAGGGGTTTCCGTGCGTGCGTGTGTGTGTGTGTGCGTGCGTGTGTGCGTGTGTGCGTGTGTGTGTGTGTGTGTGTGCGTGTGTGTGTGTGTGTGTGTGTGTGTGTGTGTGTGTGTGTGTGTGTGTGTGTGTGTGTGTGTGTGTGTGTGTGTGCGTGTGTGTGAGAGAGAGAGAGATATGCTGTGGGAAGTGCACAGCATGAGGCGCGCAACAAGCTCGGAAGGTGGTCGCTGAGACAGCCAATCAGCCAAGCAGCCAAGCAAGAAGCAAGCGAGCAAAGGGGAGCGTTTCATCTCGTTGGCGCGTTCGTTGCAGCTCACCGGAACAGTCCGAAGGTGCGACGGAGAACACATGAAGGGTGACACCGTCCTGGGTGCGCGTGTACACACGGAGGGTATCGTTCACGGTGGCGGAGAACGTAGTGCACGGCAGACGCTGCAGCGGCGAAAAAAGAGGCTGCTGGCTTGCTGCACGAGCGTCAAGAGGATGTACTGCCAGCACGCAGGCTGGCTTCAGCCGCCGCATGGCAGTGAGATACTCCTGAATGCCAAAGGCCGCCAGGAACGGGTCGCTTGGCGAGGATGGCAGCACCCGCCCAAACACGATGTCGCCTGCCGGCTGGCGAGAGGACAGCACCAAGGAAGGACGACCCTCGCCCTCATCGCGCGACTCGGGAGGAAGCACATGCCCACTCCAGCCAGCAGACATGACCAGCGTTGTCGTCGCTGAGGTGGTTGCGGCTGCGGCTGCAGCTCCTGGAAAGACGTGACAAGGACAGGCCAGCACTATGCCAGCGACAGCACCAACAACCATGAAGAAGACAGCATTCATGTTGATGAGTGGTGGCTTTGAGGGCGCTTTGCGACAGCGGCCACCGCCACAACCGCCACAACCGCCACCCCCGCCATTGCCGCCAGAGTCAGCGGCCATGCTCGGTGCTAGGCCGTTGGGGCTTGTCTCGTGCTGTGGTCCGGCTTTGATGTGGGTGTGGTGATATGTGGGTGTGTGGCTTGTTGCGTGCAGGCAACAAGCACCCAAGCACAGCCACACGACCGCGACACACGACAGATAAAAATATTGTGGCACACACAAGACCACATACGCAACCAGCAGCAGCAAAACAACGCACGAAGATGGAGAACGCGCAACGTGGTGGGTCGGCTGCACGCGACAACAGCAGCAGCAGCAGCAGCAGCAGGAAGCACAACAGCGCCACCGCCAACAGCAACGAGGATGGAAGGACGCGGGTGGCGTCGTCAACGAGGTCGTCGGCGTCTTCCTCCGTTTCATCGGCAACCCGATCCTCGTCGTCAGACAAGTGGAGACGCAAGGCCAAGAAGGCCAAGCGCAAGTGCCGCACAGGTGCGGTTGTGTGCGCACGTGGCGGAGGTTGAATGTGTGTGGGGGACAGCGGGGACCAATGGTGTGGGTCGGTCAGTTCAGGGGTTGTTGCACTGCTTGGTGTTTGCCAGTAGTCATACTGTCTTGCACGTGACTGTTGCCATGATACAAACATTTGTGTGCATGTGCATTGGCAAATACACACTCTCACTCACACTTGATGGTCACTCCATTCCCACTTACTCTGGTGTGTGTATGTATGTGCATGTGTTTGCGATCTCAGAGATTAGCACCAAGCAGTGGTCGCATCACAAGTATGCTGACCGCGACGACTTGCTCAAACCAACACTGGAATCGCCCATCGACGTCATTGACTACGATTCCGTCTCAGTGGTACGCGGAATTTGACGTGCCAGTGGCGTGGCCCTTGTGACGCCGGTGCATGTGAAGCAACTTGTCGCCTTTTCCATTCACACACACACACACATGTGCTAGAGCATCGACGCAGCTACTCTCGCTCACCCACGCATCCACTCACTCACGCACTCACGCACTCACCCACGCACTCACTCACGCACGCACTCACTCACTCACGTGCATTCAGGAGGAGTTTCAGGAGAAGTATGAACGGGCAGCTCGCCCTGTGCTCATTCGGGGTTGCGTAAGCAAGTGGCCAGCTGTTCGTCGGTGGACATTTGAGGTGTGTCCTTGCACAGCCAACCATGCCTGACACGCACAGCACCTACTGGAAGCAACACACACACTCACACATACATACACTTACACATACATACACTCACACACATACACACACTCACATACATACACACACATTCACACACGTTCATTGCGTGCCTCCGTTCCGTCTCCATTTGGTTTTCATCCACCAGCGGCTGCTGAAGAAGTATGGCGATGACAAGTTCAAGTGCGGCGAGGTAAGCCATGTCCCTCACACACTCACTCACTCACTCACTCACTCACTCACTCACTCACACACACACACACACACTCTCTCTCACTCACTCACTCACTCACTCACACACTCACACACACTCACTCACTCACTCACTCACTCACTCACTCTCTCTCTCTCTCTCACACTCACTCACCGTAAATGCTCCACCGCGCATCCTGCACCAACGCCCCATGGGTGGCTGCTTCATACGCTTTCTTGTTTACCTTGAAGGACGATGACGGGTACGCGGTGAAGATGAAGCTCAAGTACTACTTCCAATACCTTCAGGTCTGGATGCATAGCCTGTATGTAGCTGCACGTGCTTCATGTGTTCGCATTGCACCCATGTGCGTCTGTGTCTGTGTGCGCGTGCGTGTTGGTGCTGACGCACCAACAGCCCAACTAGTTCCTGCCGCATCCAACCACGCACCACCGCCACCGGTATTGTGTGGGATTATTCCGCGTACACACGCGCCGTCATGGTTACAAATGCTCACACAAAGCCGCGCGTATCACCTGTGCCCCTTGTCCCCTCTGACAGAACAACAGGGACGACAGCCCGCTGTATGTATTTGATACGAGTTTTGCAGACAAGCCAGGCAAGGAGTCGCTCGCAAGGGATTACGAGGTGAGAACCAAACTCGGCATCAGCAGTCGCACCCACACAACAGCAACATCACCCGCGTACAGAGAGCGTGTCTGTGAGTGAAAGTGTGAGTGAATGGGCAAGTGAGTGAGTGAGTGAGTCCGAGGGTGTGCGACACGAATGCCGCGGATGCCAGCCTGCCAGCATGCTTGTTACGTGCATGTGCCGCGTGCCATTACCTCACCGCGTGCTGTACGCCTCACGCGCTTCAGGTTCCAAAGTACTTCAAGG